CCTGCTGCGTTGGCCAAAGAAGTGGCGTGGTAAGTGGCCCTTAGGAAGGCGTACCTAATTGGACGCGCGTGTATGCGCGGTTGTGTGTGCACATGTATGCCTGACTGAATAAACTGAGGTCAACTGTGGGGGGCCGAAGGACAGGGACACCGTCGCAGCCGTTATCGGTTAACCAGAAGCAGCTGCGACGTCAAACCTCGGGGGACGGGGAGGGCGCCAGTGAAAGAAAGCAGTAGAACAGATGTTCGTGACGACGCCTAACTTTGGGGCAGCGCGCATTGAAGAATGAACAGAGGACAGGCATTGTGGCCGTCCGCCACAACGTGTACAGAGAGGGCTTAAGAAGTCGACTAACTTGTCTATCCGTGGCACACACACGCACACATGGCTTGCTTTCCATTTTGTCTGGGCCTTCCTTACTTTCAGGATCTGTCATAGAGGAAACTGTCATAACTTTACTGCGCATTTTGAAGGTGGCGGAGTTCCCTCGTCAATTGGCTATCTTCTGAGCTATGAGACTGTTGTTGCATAGTGTTTTCCGCCTCACTAATAAAGTGATCTGATAAGCTTCTGAACTGTTCATCTGTCTATTGTTTTACATTATCTAATCTTACTCTGCTGTTATTTTTAGGACAATGTCCTGCGTGTCGACCGGGTGTTAAAGAGGCTTGGCCAAGAAAAGGCGAAGGAAGAGCGACCCAATTTGCCCCGTAATCTGCCCTCAGCCGCTTTCATAAAGAACTACCTCAGGTAGGACGCCTCGCATGCTTCTACAATGTGGTTTTTGTCTGGACTTTTGACTCTATACGTCCTTTTAGTTTTCGGTAGGACTGCCTTTAGAGGTCCTATTTGCCTTCGAATTATAACAATAACCTACTCTTACATTTTCAGTAGCTCGAATTTTCATTTTTTCGTTAAGTTCTGCCAATATAAGGTCGAATGTACATCAATAGGCACTAGTTGCCTTAACAACAGGAGTTTATTTTGGTGGAGTTAATTATATTTAGTTCATTAGAACAATTATAAGTGGCTCTACTTTGGTATTCTTTAATCACTTTGCACGAAAAAATATTTATTTGCGCTCATGAACCAAGAATTAAAGTTTGAACCACCAATTCC